TCAGCAGGGCCTGTAGTGATAGGACAAGGGGTAATGGTCTTAAACTGAAACAGGGGAGACTGAGACTACGTATAAGGAAGAATGATTTTACAATGAGTGCTGAGGCGCCGGCACAGGGTGCCCAGAGAAGCTGTGGCTGCCCCATCCCTGGCAGTGTTCAAGGCCAGGTTGGACACAGGGGCTTGGAGCAACCTGCTCTAGTGGAAGGTGTCCCTGCCCATGGCAGGGTTTGGAACTGGATGAGCTTTAAGGTCCCTTCCAACCCAAACCATTATATGATTCTATGATGTAAAGGAATAAGAGTGATGACAGCATTGCCATGGTCACAGGTACCTGAAGTCACCTCCAAGTCAGAGACTCTTCAGCATGGTTGAAGCATCATTTAAGAGCTACTTGGAGTGGGAAAGAGGTCTGAACCCACACCGAGGGAGATCATTTAAGGTCTACTTGGAGTGGGAAAGAGGTCTGAACCCACACCGACGGAGAGCTGGAAGGATGAGCAGAGTTTAGCTCACAGCTACGTGGAGTTAAGATGTCATATTGCAGAATGGTTTGTACGAAGCTTAATATTTCCAAAATAATACTAATAAATAATAATATTTATAAAAAAACAACTGAAAGATTAGTTGCTTGGAATCTTTGTTGAATCAGGGACACAGAAGCTGTGGAAACTTTTCTGTGGGGTCTTCAATGCAGTTTCACATCCCCAGGGGAAAGTGTCGCAGCTCCTGTCACCAAAGAGGAGCAGGTGGGTAGTCCTTAAGGACTAAGAGCATCATCCTGACATTACCATATTGAACTGTGAGTCTGAAATATTAGGTTCTTTCATTTAAAGCATCTGGTCTTAGGGTCTTGCCATGACCCACTTGTGATCTTTATTAACGAAAACTTTAGTTCTCACCTTATGCAAAGACTCACATAGGCTCAGAAATGTGGTTTATGCTTTAAAAAGCTCAGTGGACATATTGCAGAGAGAAAGAAAATGATCTTCACAAAACAGCTCAGTGAAAGGGGTTTGCATCCAGCACTGTCCTGTCATACCAAGGGGTACAGTATCCTTCTTAATAGGATACTATTACTTTCCTTCTTAATATTAAGCTCTGCTTAATAACAAAACTATCAAAGACAAAAATAGATGAAGTAACTGTGCACTGTCTGTCTCTTGCTGCAGATCACAAAGAGAGGAAAGAATTCTGTGCTCCAAAGAGAGAAAAAATACTCTTCAGGTTAATACTCTCATAAATTTGAGTCTGTAGTCAGGGAAACCCACCCACCCTTGTGCTCTTTGGAGAGCTGGTCACACATACGTTAATGCTGGCTGAGATCACTGATTTTATTAAGCAAGTCAGCAACGTACTTCCTCAGTGATACAAATAAATAATAATAGTAGTGTTAGAGAAATAGTTTCTATAGCAACTGAAGTTGCTTAAAGATTTGCTAATTGTTTGCTGTGAGATGCTAGCAGATGTTCTGGATGGTGTGTCATGTTAGCCATGTGTTCCTTACATGTATCCAAATGATGGATAAGAGGGTTGTCCATTAGAAAACTGATTTTCACAGGTACTTTTTGTACTGTTTATTTGCACAAATTCCTTGGATATCCACAGTCTTCATTTTGACTTCCAAGACTTTAGACAAAAGCAGATTTGGGACTCTGCATCTGTTGCCTCTCCGAGTGTTGCTCAGCATTTCAGAAGAAATTTGGACAGTGTATGTCTCCTTGGTAACTGCCAGAACCTGCAGTGGGGAGGCTCAAAGTACATAAGCAGTCTGTCCCTCAAAGACTTGGTGTAACCAGTAGTTGGCAGCTCCCATTCCTCTTGGGCACACTGAAGTGTTCATTTCTTGGGATCTCTGCAGTCCTATGTCTCCTTGTGGAACTGGAGCTTTCCCCTTAGCATGAGTAATTCTTACACTTGCAGGCTGTGGAAAAGGATGCTTGGACAGTTCATTTCTGTACCTCTCTGACAAGTGGTTTTGGAAGAACTCAGACAGGCTGGACAGAAATGGGAAGAGACTGTAACAACAAAGACTTTTATGGTCACTAAATATTACCCAGGTTAATGTCTTAACACCCACCCCTCAACCACTGCAACACATTCACAGTTTTCATCAAAAATGAGACCTTTTGGAGTTACAAGCCAAACTCTGCTGGTTTGTTGTATGGCAAGTTAATGTGGGGTGCACAGTTTGATATCCTCTGGTGAAGGTTCTATGTGGTTTTGTTCACACAGACCATTGACTCTAATTTCTCTCTGAAACCAGCTCCTCACTACTGTCCCCACATCACCACAGCTACAACAGCATTAACAGTGACACCTGTAACTGGTGATGCTAAAAGAGTCATTATTTAATACCATCACCATGTCTCCTGGTTCACTGCTGGCTGCCAGACCACCATCTGGGGACCCTGTTCTCCACCATCTCAGGAATTAATTTAGCCATTTTATAGACTTGGAAACAAAAAGATGCACTTTTCCAGTTCTCCCTCATCAAAACAAATCACTAGTCTTTCTTAGAATCCCAGACTGGTTTGGGTTGGAGGGGACCTTAAGATCACCCACTTCCAACCCTGAAGCCTTCCACTAGAGCAGGTTGCTCCAAGCCCTGTCCAACCTGGCCTTGAACACTGCCAGGGATGGGGCAGCCACAGCTTCATGCTAAAGATGACACTGCTGTCTCATTAGTTTGCACATTTTGGGGTTTGTGTCATAAATGATTATGACCCAAATTCTGGCTTTCTTTCCCATACCTTGCAAAAACCATCCTGTATAAATCGCCTCACTGAGAAATGCTTTAGAGAACAGTCCCGTACACTCATTTTAGTCTGATCTCCAGACCTTATCTAGGAAATCTCATACAAGCAATATCGTTAATGACATAATATACCAGTGGTCAAAATATTAACATAAGACAGTCACCCTAATGAAGGATGACTCCAGGAGCTAAACACACGTGGCATTACAAGTCTGTTGTAAAAATTACCACCTGAAAATCTTCATGAAGAAATGATTCTATTTCCTGGAAAACAAACAAGCAAAGGATTCATGCTTTGTTTATCCCTGTGCTGCTGTTCCAGTACTGCTACTGTTAATCTAGAGCTACATGGAATCTCTAGGCTGTGCTAACAGGAAAGATGCTGTTAAGAAAGCTTGTATCCCCTGTAGAGGGTGATACACATCACTCTTGGATGAGCATTAAGTATGGAACAAAAGAGCGTGAATCCCAGAAGAGGGAGGCAGATGTTTTCCTGATGACATTGGTTTAGCTTCTTTATGCAAGAGACTTGTCAACCGCCTGAGCAATCTCATTATGCAACTTTGTTCTTTCATCCTCATTTGTATGTACCTCTTCGAGCTCATCCAGCCTCATTACAAGCCACAAGGTCAGAGAGGAAAAATCCATGAGGCAGCAGTAACCATTAGAGAGCATCTGACCAAAACTGACATCAGAACTTCAAGGGTGGCCTGAGGACCTGGGCAGTGCCTTTGCTGACCAGTATCAAAAGGGCATTTAGTTTCACCATGAGCAGGGAGCCAATACAATTAGGAAATTGTATTGGCAAGAAGGTCCAGTTCTGTTATGGAAAGAATCACAAGAAGGAGGTTCCAATCCTTGTCTTAAGTTAGCATTTTACAGTACTGCTTACAGTCATTCATGATGTAAGGAATCTGCTTTGCTGCACTGTAACTCCTACTCATAGTCTTAGATAAACCAGGCAGAGAAGAACCAAATTGTTCTTGCTCTTGTCCTTGAGATCTTCTTGGTCTTGGTGCTTCACACACCAGCAGCCAAAGTTCTGATTTCCAATCAGAAGTTTTCCATAGAGGAGCCCATCATCAGAAAAAAAAATCATGCTTGGCAAGTGATCAGCATTTAGATTTGACAAAACAAAGTCCATTCTAGCGCACTAAACAACACTAGCACCTAAGTCACTGCTAGCACAGTATCCTGAGGCCATTCTTATTGTTATAATGTCAGCACGAGCCTTGGCAGTCTTCTGGTCAGACCAGTAGTACTCTTGCCATAGACTTCCTGGCCACAGTTTAGGGGTCAGTTTGTCAGGCACCTCCTCAAAGGACAGCTGAGAGCAACCTTGTGGAGAAGGACTTAGGGGTATACGTGGATGAAAAGCTGACTATGATGTGGCAGTGAGCACTTGCAGCCCAGAAACCAACCGCGTGCTGGGCTGCATCGCAAGGAGCGTGACCAGCAGGTCAAGGGAGGGGGTTCTCCCCCCGCAATCCTGCGTCCAGCTCTAGGGATGCACAACACAACAGGGACATTGAGCTGTTGGAGTAAGTCCAGAGGAGGCCATGGAGATGCTCTGAGGGCTGGAGCAGCTCTGCTCTGGAGCCAGGCTGAGAGAGCTGGGCTGGGGCAGCCTGGAGAAAAGGTGGCTCCTGAAGGGGAGACCTTAGAGCAGCTCCAGTGCTGGAGAAAGGCTTTTGACAAGGGTCTGTAGGGACAGGACAAGGGGGAATGGCTTTAAACTGACGGAAGGAGATTGAGATTAGACATTAGGCAGAAGCTCTTCCCTGTGAGGGTGCTGAGGCGCTGGCACAGGGTGCCCAGAGAAGCTGTGGCTGCCCCATCCCTGGCAGTGTTCAAGGCCAGGTTGGACACAGGGGCTTGGAGCAACCTGCTCTAGTGGAAGGTGTCCCTGCACCTGGGAGGGGGTTGGAACTGGGTGACCTTTAAGGTCTCTTCCAACACAAACCAGTCTGGGATTCTATGATGGTCTCTGGTTTCTACAACAGTTTAGAAGTAGAAGGAGGAAAAAAGTTTGCAGTGGTTTGCTTTGAAAGAGAGTGTGAGGATTAACACATAGCGTTACTGTAGATGATGGGCTGAAGCTCTTCAGAGTGCAAAGAACATTCCCAGCACAACACATGTCCCATGGTATTTTGATCTCAACCTTAATTTGCTCATACAGGCAAGCCCCAGAACTTCTGTGGGTCACTCTGATTACGATCCTTGGACACTTTATTTATTCCAGCTTACTAAAATGTACCAGTTCAAGAATAAGACTCATTTGCCCCTTGACATATAACTGAGGCCAGGGAAAACTGGGGCAGTGTATTGTATCATACAAAGTGTATTACTCACTGTGGTAGAAAAGCAGTTTGTCAAACTGCTTCATTCAGTCACAGGCTAGGCTTAATGGGCCAAATTTTGTATATAGCTGCCTCCCATGAGGAGCAAAATGCACACCTTGGAGCTCTTGATAAAGAGCTCCGACATTTCATGTGGTTTAGGGGTAAGAGTAATGAATGGAAGTTTAGGCAGCAGGAAAATGCAGAAATTCATTCATCAATAGATGAAGCCCATCAATAGAAACGGCTTTTCTTTCTAAAATTGCCCAGAAATGACACTTTCCTTCAAAATACTCTAAGTGCTAACTCTGAAGCCTCTGACACGCTCCTCATTTCATTACTAGGTGGCTATTACGAGACCAGGAGCCCCTTCTGCTGACTGTAGGGGTCTCCAGCTATAGAAATTTGACATCTGTTTGACATTATTATTCCATTAGAAGAGTAAATCTTCGATCCCCTGGCTTTCTTGTGGGCTCTGACACATTCCACTTCAGTGACAAATGTCCCCTGAGCCAGCAGTGATTTGACAGGGTGGGACGTACTCCTACAGAGGAACAGACAAATGGTTTCCACGAGGAGCTGAAGTACCCTCAGGAAGTAGGCAGAATTCCTGCATGAACACCAAGCTGAAAAGGAAATCCCCAAATTCCAAGAGATTTGTGTTCCTCCCCAAATAGCAGAACTTACATGTGACATTACAGACTTGCATAAGAAGTCACAGCAGACCGAAGATCACAGTGGTTCATACCTACAGGTTTCCTCATACGTGGAAGCAGGCTACAATAAAGCTGCATGTTCTTGACCTTCTGAACAATTCCTTCCTTTCCTAACAGAAGCTGGAGCTTTCAGTCAATTCCAGTGGAAATCTGAGACCAAATGAATCCGTTTCATGTTAAGTTTGCCAAGCCCAGGCTGATAGCAGAGTTATTCACTACTCCAGAGCTCACAGGGGATCACACTCCATCAGTGCTTTAAAGTATGCTGGTGGTCAGGATGATAATGCATAGCAATGGCTCCTTTCACTCAGGGATCTCCAAATACTTTACAGATGGGAATGGAGATGTGTAAAGTGGAATTTCCCAGCTCCACTTTGCAGAGAACATTTTGGGGTATTAACATTTACTGTATTCAAGATATTCATCCTGGCTAAGAGAAATAGAAAAGCTGAGAAAGGGGCCCCAGGAACTTGATTCCCAGTACTTGGATGAAAGCATCAGACGTGACATCACCTCCTCACAAGATAAGAGTTCATTGTTTCATGGCTGAGTGTCTTCTCCCTTCGATGTGGAGATTAGCTCATGTAAAGCAAACACAGGAAAGCAACAGCCAAAATCCTTCCTCTGCAGCACAGAAAAGGCAAATTGTATTGCTGTCACTGACATCACAGGAGTAGCGGGTGCAGTTTAACACCACAAGCATCTCAGATGCCACATTCATAACCGCTGAGACCATCATCTGGGTTCCCATTCTATTGTTCCCATTCTATCATCAACACCAACATTGCAATACCCCTGTGGTCTCCTGGCCAGAAGGAAGTGGGATAGTTTCCTTGAAGGATTAATTAGGGACTATAACCAAAACAAACAAAACCCCCACAAATCAACCCTGACAGCTCTTAAATCTTTTCTCCTTGCAGAGTCTCCTGTGATTTCCTACTTGTGTTTTACCAGTTTTCTAGCCTCCAAGAATTTTCTCCCCCTAGATAAACCACAAGTATCTAATGTAACACTACACTGTAATCAACTGACATTTCAGCCAAGCTTTCTTATCAAATAGAGGGACAAACCAGAGCACAAGAACAACATTCTCTTCTCTGCAGTCACCAGTTTAATTTGGTGGTTTATTTATTTTAAAATCGTATTTTTAACCCAACAGAGTTACTGTGTTCATACTCACAGATATAGGGGCTACAGCACTGGCTGACAACAAGTATCTTCACACAGTAAGTGGGCAAATGCAGCTGGGTGGGTTGATGGCTGTCTATCATATGGGACATGCCTAAACCATGTTGCTGAACAGCAAAGGAGAGACTCCTGCCCTAGCAGCAGCATTGCAGGTGCACAGGGTGCAGCAGAACACTGCACAGAGCAGCCACAACATCAAGACATGCTGAAATTCCTCCATGACACCCTCTTCCCTCTCAAACCTTGGTTTGTCAGCTGTGATGGAATGGTCCTTAGCATTTCAGCCCCTATTTCCTCCATCCCTCCACCCACAGCCAGCTGGGCAGCCAGACTGTGTGTAAAGATAAGCTTCTCAGGGGATGGGTAGGTGTTGTCATTAGACACTGGCGATGATGCCTCCTACCAAGGGAGACAGGATGAACTGTGAGCTGACACACGTACCACCCACTCCCATTTACGCAGGAACACACACACACACATACAGCCAGCTGGAGACACAGAAAGAGGAAAGATCAAACAGCTCCTTCAGCTGTGAGGGAAAGACCCTACAACACACAGAGAGGCAGCAGCCTATTAATCAGACACAGACTGCAGCACTCTGCCAGTTATCAATAGCATCTGCTGCTTTAGAAAAAGCAGAAAAAGCTGCTGAGGAGCTTGGGACTTTCCAAATATTCTTCTTTTTTTCCTTAGCAGTTGTTCTCACTTTCCTTCTTACGATACAGTCACGGAGATTTTAATGTATTTTGATTTTTTCCAGAAAGAGGAACTCAATGCAGCGCTAGAAGTGCACATACAGCGCTGAGGTTGTGGTTCTGCTCTTCCCATATCAAACTCCCTGGTATATCAGAGACCCTCTATCCCAGCTAGTAAGAATGGAAATATGCACTTGGTCTATCCCACCATTAAAAAGACAGTGATTATGATCCCTGCCTTCTTGCTCCACAGACTTAAATGCCAGCAGGGAAGCTCCTATTTTTAACAGAGCCATAGACAGGCAGTCTGCAGACACCAGACACCACCGTGTGCAGTAACATGCCACTTCCATTTAGATGATTTCCTTCACAATGGTGAAAGCTAGAAACTTCCTTTACAAAATGTAAACAAACCAAAGTTTAGATTCTGCCTATGCTGAATGAGGCTCATAAATGCATGATGGAGGCCAGATACAGCCCACAGGGCGACTGTTTGACACCTCTGGCCTATAGGGACAGGAAATGGTTATAAATAGTCTGTCCCATTTCAGTTCTCCGAAGACAAATATGTTTGACACAGAGTGCTCGAGCACAAAGAGTCATTTGTAGACCACCCAGGAGACTTGCACTGAAATGACCTTTCTTTGCTTGGACGATCAGTTATACTAATGTTTGTTTCACAAGATGCAACATTCGTTCTTAAATGGAAGCAGCCCAGAGGAGCCATGTATATAATCCCACTTACTTGTTGGTCACTGCCTGCATAAACTCATCAATCAGTTCGTCGTACTGTTTCCCACGAACCCTCTTGTGTTTCAGTCCAATATAGAGTGGATCACTCAGGAGAGCCTAGGACACAAAGCAATTCCATTGACATCTTCTCTTCCATGGGTGGACTGAGATTTATGTCCCAGCCTACCCAAAATGTTTGTCTGTTGTGGTCATATGAATTTTACTTACTATGCAGTGAAGGCCACCTCACACAGCTCTTCCTGAGAGAAAGGGCTTCCATAAGAAGCTATGGACTATATTTTTGGGTAAATGCAGAGGGATGTAATGTTTCTTGACTGCCATAGGAAACGGAGCTCTGTCTGCATCCCCATCTGCTCTACTAAAGGTTCCCTCCCAAGGTGCCTCACTCAAAGTGAATAAAACTGGCCTTGTGTGAGGGGTGTTTACTGCTCATTTAGTTCTTAGTTTTGCACTGAGGTTACCAGGAAAGCTGCTGACCATAAATAGTGCTGTGAGCAATGAAGATCGCCTTGAAGTAACTTGAAGTGACATGTGTCGTTTAGGCCTTTAGGTAACAGCCCAGAACCAGTGATCAGATGCCAAAATGTTCCCAAGCTCTGCATCTACTAGCACTCACCTCAGTTATCTGCAGGTGTCAAGGCAAGGTATTTTCATATAACAGATTGGTTTAGTTTTTGGCTCTAGCTAGGAATATAAACCCAGGTTGTTCCTCCAACCAATCCAGCACACGTTCTGTCGGGACCCCTAATCCACCTAAAAAGGACTGGGTCAGCATGGAAATAGCACATATTTTGGGGAAAGTTCAAGGAAACACGGACCAGCACCTCTGAGGGTCACTGCAGTGCGACTCCCCTTCCCATTTCAGGAACTGAATCATCCACATGAGAAGGGGATGAGCCATCTCAAACCTATTGTCCTGCGGCCATACGGCCCCAAGTATTAGCAGGTATGCTAAAATCAGATCTGCTTGTACAGTCACAGCTGTTTTCCCTTAGAAGGAAAGTTGAAAGAGTTTTCCTCTGGGTTCGATACATTAATTCTTAAGGGCCACTGAACATGCTCAGCGGTGCTGGAGCATCTCCCCTGTGGAGCGAGGCCAAGAGAGCTGGGCTGGTTCAGCCTGGAGAAGAGAAGGCTCTGGAGGGACCTCAGAGCAGCTCCAATGCCTAAAGGGGCGACAGGAAACCTGGAAAGGGGCTTTGGAAAAGAGCCTGCAGGGACAGGACAAGGGGGAATGGCTTTAACCTGCCAGAGGGGAGACTGAGATGAGCTCTAAGGCAGAAGCTCTTCCCTGTGAGGGTGCTGAGGCGCTGGCACAGGGTGCCCAGAGAAGCTGTGGCTGCCCCCTCCCTGGCAGTGTTCAAGGCCAGGTTGGACACAGGGGCTGGGAGCAACCTGCTCTAGTGGAAGGTGTCCCTGCCCGTGGCAGGGGGTTGGGACTAGATGAGCTTTAAGGTCCCTTCCAACCCAAACCAGTCTGTGATTCAGACACAGAAATGGCTCAGGTAATACAGAGCCATTTGTTTTACCTCACTGATTGCTCCTGTAGTGCCATGTATTCTGTTCACGGAGAATACAATTCTCCCACAGGCAAGCTGAGCAACGCCAAGATCTGAGAAAAGACCAATTTGCTGAAATAATGTACAAACTATCATGGACTGTCAGAAAGAAAAGCTGGAACTGACGTTAAAAATACGACTGCTATATTTACCTCATTCTATCTGAGGTTCCTGTGTTAGTAACAGAGACAAGAATGAATGCATATTAGAGGTAGCTTATTTCTGCACTGATAAGTGCAGGTAGGATGGTCCTAGGACATGCTTAGGGTTTGGTTAAGCTGAGTTTATACACATGAGAAAGCCATTAAATAAAGATATTTACATTGTGAGGGAATAGGTTGTTCATATTGCTGGAAAACAGCAACTTCTGTGTCTTAACCCCAGATGTGGAAATTGACTCCACAGAGAAGTTCTTGGACACATAAGTTACACTTGATGTTGGGCATAACAAAAGTGCCCAAGACTGACTCTAGGAGTCACCTTCTGACCCTTGGAGATGCCTAGAAGTCATTGGTACCATTTTAGTGTCCCCTGGATACTGGCAGATAGAAACAGATGGCCAGAAGTTTCCCATGGGAAGGGAAGCACTTTCACCCAGGTCCCTCTGGAGGGAAACTGCAGATAAAAGACTCAGAGCATCAGCACTCGGTGGTGCGCAGACCAGCAGGGAGGAGAAGGAAGAGATGAAGGAGCAGAAGTGCAGTGCTCTACTGACTGGAAACCCCAAGAAGTGAGAGACTGAGACTTAATTCCTGCCTTAGCCTCAAAGGGTCCAAACGCAGAGGGTCCCACTTTTCAGGAAAGACCAGGCTGAGATGAGCACATCCTATTTTCCACAAGTCCATGACAGGCCAATATGCTAAACGGATAAAATAACCCTGGGACCAGAGACCGAAGAGGTGATTGGGATTCTCATCCCAGATGCCATCTATGACCATTGATTTTGCTCTCTTTCATTCTTTTTAAGTGTTCAATGTGAGATACTTGGGGCAAGTGAAACAGGTGCAGAAAATCACATTTTCCCTTCATGCACAAACTCAAAGCTCTTACACCCCCCATTTGTTATTTCTCTCCAGGAAACACGTGTCTGGTTTACTTCAGGTCAAGGAATGCAAAAGTACATTGTACAGCAATGGACAAACCCAGGCCCTCACAACTGACTATAGGATATTAATGTGAGCTCTGAAAAAGACATCCTTCACAGATGTCCATTCTGGCATTGCTGAGATGTTGTGCTTCGGCCTTTCTGAGCCAGAGTCATAAGGCAAAAATCTGCAAACAGATGGAGTCCTCTTGTCTGGTTATCATGTGCAGTAAAGCGTGCAGTCTGACAGAACACTGAAATTAATCATCCCCAAACCACCCACTGGGGATTCTCCACTCTCTGGAACACAGTCACCTCCATGCAGACACAAGTATCTGCCTGTGTTTTCACTGTTACCAGAGGAAGAATAAATCTGGGACTTCCTGTACAAAGTCTTCCAACTCACCTTACCATGCTGAAAGGCAGAGCTGACCCTTCAGCTCCAACTGGCAATGCTCTGAGTCTTCTCACCAGGGGACCATGAGGCTGTTTAGTGTTTATTTCAGTTCCCCATAAGAGCAAAAGTTTCTTCAGCATCAAACAGGAATGAAGCCTGCCCACTTCCCTGCAGTGCTGGTCTAGCCATCATCTCATCTTGGATGGCTCTGGCTGTGCCTCCACATTTAGGGACGGGCCTCAGTGAAGCATTAATCTCAATTCTTTCTCCCTCCTCTGTCAGATTAATGAAGAATGGTCTTACCTCATTGTCTGTGCCAACATCCAGCAGGACAGGGAGACACTGTTGTGGGTGAACTCCGCCACAAGCTGTGTACAAAGCAAGCTTCCCGACTGGAATACCCATCCCGTAACTTCCTAGATCTCCTAAACCAAGAATCCTCTCTCCATCTGTCACCACAATAGCCTAGGAGGATCAAAAGAGACTGTTGTATGGTGTTGCCAAGGCTCCAGAAACAAACCCAGCTCCATTGTCTTCACACCAATGCCATTTTGCAGTGCATTGTGCAACAGGTATTTGCTCTTTCTACATGACACCCAGTTAACTAGATGTTA